GGTCTTAATATCCCGTATCCCTGTAATTTTTTGACCAAATATCCCGTATGCCATAAATTCCGGTCACAAATATCCCGGAAATTAAAGTGTCGGCCATTTTTCATATGTTACTTGCTACGATATATTTTATAATATTCATTCACTGGCATTAAAACGTAAACTGGAAAAGTATGGTTTTCAAGGAGCTTATTGTGACAGTTGTTTAAACTGCTATCATTCAAAATATGGTAGATATCAAGTGGAAAGTTAACAAATGTTGCCACCAAAATCACTTTTGTATACCAGTTAATATAATTAGCTGATTAGCTTACCTGGTCTCGCCTCGATCAGGCGGCGCTGCCTCGATCGAGTGCTAGCGCGCTATTTTTAGTAGTTCATGTTACCCCCACATAGTGCCCATGATGAACCAATGACTGGTCAAACGGTTTGTTTTACACTTATATATTTTTCATTTATATCTAATCATCAACAAAAATACAGAAAAGGGCATGTATTTAGTAATCCAAAAACGTTTCTCATCAAACATCTGATATGTTACAATTTTTTGCGAATATCCCGTATCCCTGAAACTACTTCTCAATATCCTGTATCCCAATAACTTTTTCCTCAAATATCCCTTATCCCGGTAATTTTTTCCTCGAATATCCCGTATCCCGAAAACCCCTAATGGGGCCTCATAAAAGTGTGACCGCAAAAACATCTAAAGACTGGTTCATTGTAGTCCTTTACTTTGGTTAAAAAAAATTACAGCGTGTACAGAAAAAATTCACTGATTCCTGTATGACCCACCCTGGCGGTCATAAGAAATGAATATCTCGTTGCTTCGTCGTGTAGAATTCCCGGCCCATTGAGGTCAACAAAAAGTTTCCCGTCCGGGTGGGGGTTAGTATTTTGCTGTTTTTATCCGTGACACTTCTAAATGAAGCATACATGAGCTAAAAACAACAAAACGGTCAAGCAGTACTGGAAACAAGTTTGAAAAATAAAAAAGATGGCGGCCGAAACGCGGAGGATTTTTTTGGCTTTCAAAGACGTTTTCTGGGCATTTTCTTCGCGCTGGCTACCCCTCACTGGTTCAGGTCAAATTCAAAGGAAAACAAAAACCCAGTTTTTATCACATTCCTTGGTTTAAAAGACTGTCGTGGTTTTAAGTGTCATTGTCTCTAAGGACCAGGCAGGGTCCGCGGATCGAGGTCGGCCGATTGCCTCCAAATTTTCAGCATTTTTTCTCTATCAGATAAGATTACGATCGGTGGTATTTTTAGTAAAATAAAATTAATTTCTTAGAATTTTGACCACCCCCCTAGTTTTTGGTGCTATTTTGCCCACGTGAGACGGAAAATTTGGGTAAACTTCCACGACACATTTTACTTACTTGGCATTAGCCTTATTCACTTATACGAACTGTACATACTTTCCAGCCTATAACCAGCTCATGTCTTCAATATAAACGAATTTTGTTAAAAATAACTTACTTTGGAGCGGTTCCAGATATCATCACTTCGTGGCTATCGCAAGTAAGAAGAATTTTGGCAATTTTCCAATCTGGTTTTCTCTAAAGTGCGGCAGTTTATATCCAGATCAAAACTATTTTTTTTTAGCCTGTCATAAAGTCTTTACAAATACGCAAACTCTTATTTGGCAAGTTAAAATACCTTCGCGTGAGCTTTCTCACAACTTTAACCTAATTTCCTAATTTGCATAATTGTCGTTTTTCCCGGAAATATTTCACGCTTGATTAATTTGCGACATATTCCCGGTGTTTGTGACTAAGAGCAACACATTACTTTTTCAGATAGGTGGCCTGCATATTATACTATACTTCACTGTCAAACTCTTTGAAATATTGAGCGGTTCTGTTATTTGGTAGAAGTACACTTCAGGGAAAGATAATTTTCCATCCCTTATCTGATTATCTGCAGACAGCTGTCCTGTTCAGCTGATTTTGCTGTTTTCAATATGGATGTTAGTTTGACTTGTTCGTTCAGTTCTCCTGATTCTGCCTGTAGTTTGGAGGGCACGGGGTCGCAGGTTGTACCCCTGTTGGCGTGCAAGCTAGACATCACTGCACATCTACTAAGCCTGGGAGTCAGCTCAGGGCAACTGCGAACCGGAGACGAAAACGTTAATGAGGTTGACCTGATCCTGAATAGAGCTGGATACTTTGTTACAACCGATAACGAGAAAATGTCAATGACAATATGCCCGAGACACAGAAAAAAACTAACTACAGACTGGGCTGGCAGAAAGAGCAACACATGCTCGTATCCAAGTCATCGAGGACCGCGGAAAACTATAAAGAAACCGCGCCGCGTAAACGCCACCTTGTCGGAAGAAATTTATCAATTTCACCAAGCCACAGTTCCCATTGGCTCGGGTAAGTACAAATCGGGTGCAGCCAGACCGCAGCCTTAATACTTAGAGTTGTAGTATGGACTTCACTGGTAAATACAAACGAAACCTTTATTTCGAAGGTACTTATTTTACTTTGTGCTTATGGATATGGTTAGTACATAAATTTTATTTCTTTATCGGAATATGCTAAGGGAACGAAGCAAAACGTAATCCGATGCCATTGCTTTTTGTATTTGAATGAGCTTTTCTCTTTTAGTCGACTCGTTTAAATATACAAAGGCATTGCCTAATTCTGTTGCATTGTCTGATATCCTTCTGACTTTTTCGGAAAAGGGGAGGGAGAGGGGACGTTGGGGTAGTGTTTCGAGGTGGATTGAAGTGGTAATTTGCTAATCAAGCACCCCGCCTGCAAGATGACGCCAAATGGGAGAGGACGGGGGAAGAGGAGAACTAGGAGGGGGAGTAGAGGGAATGGGAAGTTGGGTGGGGCTGCAAGGGACGCCCAAACACTCCTTATTTCACTCACCTTCCTTTCTTTAGCTGTTAAGAAAGCAAATTACCGCACTTTAATTTGGTCTTACGTGAGTGACACAAACTACAGTCAATGGACATAAGTATTCGTCACTATCAAAAATAACGCGCGAAATTCTTACCCGCGTTGTGCACACTACGCGGGGGAAAACTAGATGCGGAGCGCGACATCGGTCAATAAAGGCGGGAAAATTATGTAAAAATAAAAACAAACAAACATCCGACTAAGAGCAAGAAAAAAATTTCAAACTTCCCAAAAGGAAACGAACAAAAGCTGTTTGTGTTTTGACACATCGTTCAGTCATTTATTCAACAGTAACTGCAACGGGTGGTCGCAAAAAAAGATCACAGTTATTTTGTTTTGCTTCTGATAAACAATATTCAGCACTCGTGAGTCGACAAAGTGCTTAACTGTCTGCAGAGACAAAAGAATTAATTGTTACTTTGTCAGAATCCGTGAAAAACAAAGCTGAACTGTCAAGACTGTTGAGCATTCTAAGAACGACTATCACAGGTGGAACAAAAGATAAATTTGATGATCTGGGGATGTTTTTGATATGATGGTGTTGGAAGTGTGACTTCAGTTGAAGGCAACAGCAACTCTGCCAAGTACATTGACATCCTAGAAAATAATGTATGGCCAGTAGTTGTTTAGTACTTAGAAGACAAAGACTACATGTTCATGGATGGCAATACGCCAGTTCACAGCGGAGCACACAATGTAAATAATTATAAAGATAAAGCAAAGTACCCTTAATGGAATGGCCAGCACAGTCTCCAGATTTAAATATAATAGAAAACATTTGGCTTTACATCAAGAGAGAGTTACAAAAGTCCACTGAAAATATCGCTACCAAGAATGACCTTCTTCGTGAAACTGAGAGTGTGTAGCGGAAGATCCAATTAGATTGAATATGAAAGCTTTACCAGCCCATTCCTGATCGCCTAGACAATGTTATCAAAATGACGGGTCATCTTACCAAATACTAAGGTGATTTTAAACTTAAATTTACCGTAAACGAAGTTAAAACAGCGCGCGTAAACGCCGCCATATTGAAAGTGACGAATATATATGTCCCTTGACTGTATATTGATGATGGGTATGATAACGATAACCATAAAGACGATGGTGACGGTATAAAGGGTCAATCACGTTGATGGTGATCGTGTTGGTTATTGTTGTCAGTATTGTTAATCTATTTATCATTATCATTTTTTATGACAGCTGTGTGTTCCAGCTGCCGTGGAGCACACTACAAATCCCGTAAGGCTCACGGTTTCATGTCTGGAGAGCAGGTAAGCTAGTACACATTGGCCATTCACAGCTTAGTGTAACTAAGCATAGTGTAACTGACCATATAATCAGAGGATGTTTTGATACCGCCAACAGGTGCACTGATATCTATAACAACTGACAACATGAATAACACGTACCTTTGTTGGTTTTCCTGTCTTTTCTTCAATGGGTAGCCATTTGGAATCGTTAAGGTGTGGTCGATTTCCAAGAGGCTTGGGACCTAGTTATAATGATAGCCATGTCTAGAGTTTTCAGATCGCGCGTCGAGAACAATTACTCGACTACATCTGAATGTTTTCTGAATGACAAATTGGTCTTGACCAGTGCTTGAAGAGACCAGCAACAACAAAGATGCGAGGGCACCCTTTGGCAGCGGCTAGGAAACACATATAGAGTTTCCACAGTTACATGTATTGGAGATCTTTGTGGAATTGTTGACGATCTTGTCCATAATTTGCTAATCTATTTTATTACGCTTCAGGATCCTTACTCAGACACCTTGGTGATTGGAGACGAGATCGAGGAGTCTGATTCTGCCACTGTCTCTGTCATTACTGTTTGTGAGGAGAGCACATTGCCAGCCACGGTGTGTGCAGCGGTCTCAAGCACTGGTGAGGGGTTAGAAACAGTCTCTTTGCAGTCCCATTCGTCCCAAGCCTCGATACCAGACGAAGAGATTAGTTTATGGGTTGACGAGATGGAGGAACAAAACAGCAAACGGCAGAAATTAAACGAAGCTGTCCACAGCATCTCAGGTGGCCGCTACAGCCCCGTAATGTCCAGCCTGAACACGACCTGGGACGACGTCTCCGACACCCAGCAGCGATATTACATCCGCAAAGCTAAGGAGACTATAGTGACTTCATTGTCTGTCATCACTCCCGGTCAAGAGGAACTGGTTTTGAAGGCGTTACAAACGGAGGTACTTTTGGATCCAAACAGAGACAACCAAGGAAAGCGCAAGCGTTTTGATCCCAACTCTGGTCTTGTCGACATTTTAGTCAATGCCTATGAGCAAGCAGGTCATTGGCAAACAAAGCGACAGATCCTTTCCCTCTTTGCAGACGACTTTTCAAGAGCTGAGCTTCAAGAGATGATCCCTGGGCTTTCCAAATGGCGCATCGACCAAGCTCGCCAACATGCAACAGAAGCAGGGAAAGGCCAGCCTCTCCCTGAAATTCCTAGTTTCCGTACAAGAATTGAGCATGAAAAGGTGGATCATTTCATTGAATATATCTCCAGACCAGAATTTGTCCAAGACGTGGCGTTCGGGACAAAGACTCTCAAGCTTGACTCGGGGGAGAAAATTGTCATACCAGCAGTCATTAGGACCGTCATTCCTTCACGCATCATCAGACAATATTTAGACTATTGTAAAGAACAAGAGTTCGAGCCGGCGAGCCAGCGTTCTCTCTACCGAATGATTGAAGTGTGTTCGGCCTCTATGCAGAAATCCCTTCAGGGACTTGACAACACCACTGCAGAGGGTACAGAGGCTTTTGATCAACTCTTTTCTATGTTGGAGGCCTTAGCAGATCAGGGCATCAACGTTACTGCCACTCAGAAATTTCTAAAGGATGCAAAAAGGTACTTAAAGAATGATTTCAAGACACACATCGGACGAGGAGAACATTGCAGTGATCACTGCACGGTCCACGCACTAAGTGACAGTAGTGCATGGGAGTTCAGGGGCGAATGTGATCATGAACATTGCTACGAATGTGAGCGCTGTGAGAGTCTAGAAGGAGTACTGAAACAGGTGGCAGAGATGCAAGACAAAGCGGACATGACGGAAGAGGAGAGGGTTAGGTGGAGGTTTGAGTACACTGAGAGTGTGCGCAACATACAAGCGTGGAAGAATCACTTGCTACGGTCAAGTAACCAGGACGAAGCCAAGCAGGATATTCTCGAGAAGCTAGACGACAACTCGTGTCTTGTCGTAATGGACTGGGCAATGAAGTTTCTGCCTGTGCAATACAGAGAACACATGAGTGATTTTTTTGGCAAGAGAGGAAGAAGCTGGCATATCAGTGCAGTAATCACTAGAGCAACAGTGGAGAGCAAGCATGAAGTCGAGTGTTTTGTACACATTTTCAACAACTGCACCCAAAATAGCTTTGCAGTTCTTTCAATAATAGAGGACTTGCTGCAAAAAGTCAAACTGGAGTATCCAGGGGTGACAACAGCCTACCTCCGATCGGATAACGCTGGATGTTACCACAATGGGCCTCTCTTGTTAAGTCTTAGAGAAGTAGGGGTGAGAACCGGTGTCAGGCCAGTACGATATGATTTCTTCTTGATGAAGAAATTCGAAGAGGGTACAAGAACTGGAAACAAGGCCGATCCTGTACGGGTAGCGAGGGAGATGAAGACCCTCAGAAATGAGGACGGAGAGCCCACGTTTAAGCCTGAAGAGTGGAGGACTGCGCAGCAGATCAGTAGCCTGTTTTCACGTCAGACAGCGGCGCTGCGTCATAGGGGTATTGATGCGGAGGAAATCTCGGAGGAAGACATCGAGGCTGCCGAGTCGGAAATAGCGTTTGACACCCTTAGAAGTTTGGTGATGGATGATATGGGCAAACCAAGCCATCCAATCATCGTGGGCATTAGCAATATCTGCGAACTTGTAAAAAACAAGAAGCTTGACTCACTCAAACTGGCAGCTCTGAAAGAAATCTGCAATCAGCTACACCTGACGACAAGCGGACCACTGTCAAGAAAAAAAACTTTCTTTGAGGCCATTCAAAAATTCTCTGAGAGTTGCACGTGTTTTCAAAAATAACGTTACATGGTTTTAGTAGGGAGGATCTCTATGCTTCTACCCCAATCTTCTCCATTGGGGCCTTTTAGATAGGTACAGGGAGACCCTTCGATAACAGGGTTTATAAATACTTGTAAATTAAAAAATCGTGAGCAATATAAGACTGCAAACTGAATGAATGCTATGGTAAACACAGTAAAACAAAAAACTGCAAGGATTTTTACATACTGCTAAACACCAGCTGTCCGTCGCTATGCTTGAATGCTATCATGGATGAAACCAATTCGGTTTTCTTCCTAGACAAAAGAGCAGTGCCGGAAGATTTCAGCAGCAATGCACACGGATTGATCAACTTTAGTAACGTTGTGTCAAATCTGTTACGTTATAATGCATTAAGTTTCGACTCACTAATTTGCGCATCTGTTCGAATTGCATTTCCTCTGCCACGAATTGACTGTCATTTCGGCAGCCTGTTTGCCTTCCATCACACGTGGAGAAAACATTAACTCTGTTAGTCTCCAAAACTATTCACTACTTTACAAAACACAATCTTGAGCCTGTCTGGCATATTAATTTGCATGTCCATGTTTAGTGAAATGACAGAATTGTTATGTTCGCCCCAAATTTGTGGACTGTCAACGTCTGCAAGATCGAAACAACAATTAGTTTCAAAAACAAGAACCTCATAAAAATTAATAATTAATTACGTGCAGGGTTATCATCGCTTGTATATAATATCAACAGACAGGTGAAGTTTTCCCGGGGAAATTCGACAACATGCAAATTAGTTAAATTTGAAGAAAGCTTACGGGAGGGGATTTTGACCTACCAAATGACAAAATAGGCCGATGAACTATGGCCACTTACCTGAAAAAGTAATGTTTTTCTCTTAGTGATAGTAAAGAAGCCAATAAACGCCTGCAACAAGTCGCAAATCAAGCGTGAAATTTTTCCCGGAAAAACTACAACTATGCAAAGTAGGAAATTAGGTTAAAGTTGTGAGAAAGCTCACGCGACGAGATTTTAACTTGCCAAATAAGAGTTTGCGTATTTGTAAAGACTTTATGACAGACTAATAAAAAATAGTTTTGATCTGGATATAAACTGCCGCACTTTAGAGAAAACCAGATTGGAAAATTGCCAAAATTCTTCTTACTTGCGATAGCCACGAAGTGATGATATTTGGAACCGCTCCAAAGTAAGTTATTTTTAACAAAATTCGTTTATATTGGAGACATGAGCTGGTTATAGGCTGGAAAGTATGTACAGTTCGTATAAATGAATAAGGCTAATGCCAAGTAAGTAAAATGCGTCGTGGAAGTTTACCCAAATTTTCCGTCTCACGTGGGCAAAATAGCACCAAAAACTAGGGGGGTGGTCAAAATTCTAAGAAATTAATTTTATTTTACTAAAAATACCACCGATCGTAATCTTATCTGATAGAGAAAAAATGCTGAAAATTTGGAGGTAATCGGCCGACCTCGATCCGCGGACCCTGCCTGGTCCTTAGTGACAGTGACACTTAAAGGTAGACGAGAGATGGCACGATATCAGGTGGTACCGTTCGCGATTTCTGCAAACTTTGGTTGTAATCTTTCCGCGAAAGTCTACGCAAGTGAAAATCCATACAAAAATGGCGATTTTTTAGTTGGTTTTTAGCGCGAAAAAACCAGTGAAATCCGATAAGCTGGCATTAATCGAAGGTAAGATCTTGAATTTGATGTTTTTTGATATTAATATTCCGGTGGTACCCATTGAGATTTGGTTACGAGTAACTCATAATCAGAGACAAAAAACTCTTAAAGTCGTTTCAGTCTTATTATTCCGCCATATTTTAAAGACCAAATCGTGGCTCGAATGCGGCTCTAGCCTGTTAAATTCCCGGATGTGACCGAGCATTCTACACGATGTGAAACAAGTTAACCATGAAAAGCACTTCTAACTGCTGGGCTTAAGGGGTATTCTGAAGGGTTTGATAATCTTATTTTGAATTGGCCGAAAAACACTGTGTACATTTCATCGTCGAAGATAAAGTAAAGTGGATCACACACCCGTTCAATCTGTAGTAAACTGCATAATACAGGGTGAACATTCAGAACATGACCAGCTGTATTAGTTAAGCTTATTTAAGCTTATATTTATCTCATTTTAACTTAAGAAAGACCATTAATACCAACTAATAAGAAGTCTTCATGGTTTTTCACATCTCAGCAGTCATGTTTTGTAGCGTTTGCATGCTTCTGGCACCGGTTGTTCAAACGATGAATCACTACCAAGCGGAAAAAATATCAGTAAACCTAATGGCACTATCCACTATTTATCCAGTGAAAAGATTTATCCACCTTTCGCACAACTGGGCCCTGTACTTTAGTCAGCACAGGTATACTGTGTCGTTACAGACATGTATACTTTAACACGGGCCATCAGTTTTCTCTTTGGTTTTGTAAACTAGGTGGCTGAGCTTTAAGAAAGTCATCAACGCTTTGCTTTCCAAGCCAGTTTATTACCTGAGTATAACAAACCTAAGGACCCATGCCAAGGAGAAGTGCTTCATCAGTGACGATGAAGAGTTTACCACCATGGTGAATTTTTATCATGACCTGGGGATAATTATCAAGCACCGTAGCACAGTCACCTTGAGTGCCAAGTGGCTGATAGACTTGTTCGGGCAGCTGATCACTATTCCAGATTTTAGGAAAATGGTAAGAAAGACATTTTAAACGTGTTTTCAAACTTACAATGCTTTGTAATGGCCCCCATTTTGGATGAAATCATGGGTGTCAAACCGTGCCGTAACAAATAAAAATGATTATGTCTCATACATTGCACGCTAGCTTTCGTGTGTGACATCAGCACAATCTACCTTTAAAGGGGTGCAATGGAAGCACATTGCATGACTTGTAGAATTATCCTCAAGTGTAGTCTTAAAGGAACGTCTCACAACAAAAAAAAAAATGGAAAGATACATATACGTCTGCTGAAACCAGCGACTCTTTATGTCGAACAATCAGAACGCACTTTTATAGTTTCTGGAAGTGAAATTTGGACCTTAAGAATTTTCCGGAGAGTAAACCAAATAGAGGATTCTGGCATTTACGTGACGCTTTAAAGAGCATTCTATAGATTTGAAATCTGAGGTCTGTTTAAAAGGCTATGATCTTTTTTCGCCCCCAGAAAGATTTATTCACAGTTATACTTTCTAATCAGTCTTTCGTAACTTTCATTTTAGACGTGTCCTCACACAAATCCGCAAATTACAAGGAGAAAAGTTTTCCTTGAATGTTTGCTTAAAATGTTTAGTAGCTTATTTCTTTTAGAGAACTTGCTAAACTTTATTAGTATAACATTTAGAAATGTAAAATGATCCTGGAAGAAAGCTATTTTGAATAGTTTTGTGATCATTCAATCAATCAAATCAATCAATCAATCAGTCTTTATTCTTCGTAAGATAAAAAGACATATCTTAAGTTACATCAGCAGTTAGGATTCTAAAAATACATACGACATACTGTATACAAATAATAGAAAGATTAAAGATTATATCTAAAAATAAGCCTATTTACAAAAACATTCTTAAATGTATCAGTCTTTATATCCTAGCGATGAGCACTTTTGTTTCTGAGTTGTTACTTTGTTTCTTTCTTCTTCGGAAAGATGTTACTAAGCTGGCAATCGGGATCCACTGAACGTACCTTGAAAAGCTTCTTATCTGCCTTTTCTAAAATTTCTCGAATGTCCATTCTCTTAGATGTGTATTTCCTTTTAAAACATCTATCCAAAACGTTTTGTATGACCGTGAAATCTGAGTCTACAGCGCTATAAACAGGCAGACCATAAGTGATATTCGGTAAAACTAAGGCGCTAAATAGGTGGCTACTTCAACTTGACTAAAACCTTCCATCCGTAAAAAATCTTAATACAAACAGACACTAACAGTATTTGCCTTAATCAACTTAGCATGTACGTGTTCGCTATATTTACAATTCTCCTGAAACCTAACACCTAAAATGAGCAGTGAATGTTATTAACTTGCACAATATCCTGAATAAAACCTTTCTTGCGAAAAATAATTTCTTTACATTCCTCTTGTTATTCCGTCTTAGGTCCCTAAGTTTGCAAAGCACTGGAAGGAGGTCGAAGAAAGCGGTGTTCTCAGCATGGAACTGCTTGATCATGTGTTTTCCAAATTTCTTCTGGAGGGCGTTGCTAGGAAAGACATTCTGGATTTGATGGAACAATTTGGATTGATTGCAAAATTTTCATCTTCAAAGACAGGTGAAAAGTATTTCGTTCCATCTCAACTCAAAGCTTCGCCTGATTCCCTTTGTTCCATAGCGCCCTCAAGGCTCGACCCTTGTCCTCTGTTTGTTTACTTTGTCAGCGGTTCTGTTCCCCATGGTCTGTTCACTCGGCTTGTTTCTCGATCTGTCCGTTGGTGTTCAGAGGCTGGTCCAACTCAGCCCCCTACCCTGTACCAAAATGGAGCGTGGTTTATCATTGGGAAGCAAACTTTCCATGATTTTGTTCTTATTTGTAAGAAGCAGTTTATTAAGTTTTTTATCAAGCAAAGAAACCAACTTCAGCAGATCTCGGTGGATGGCACAAGTGAGGTAGCAGTGCATGTTCGTGAGTTTGTGGAGGCAACTTTGCAAACTTTGTCACGTGATCTCTATAAAGGTGGATTGCAGTATCATATTCGGGTCGCCTGTCCGTATTGTCAGCGGGAAAAGTGTTCAAGGCATGATCAGATTGCATGTTCTCATGAAGATTGTCTTCATCTCCTTGAGTTAAGACAAGGCGATCCTCTGATTTGCAAGAAGAAACCTGTTGAGGAGGTACTCACAGTTAAGGGACAGCAAAAGTGGTTCTCGCAAGCAGAAAGTAAGGTAGGTAGCAGTGAAATGCGATCTCTAGCAGTAGTCTTAGCAAATTTCATATAGCAAGTGAATACACATACTACTAATAAAAAAATTATGTCCTTAAAAGATGGCCATCTATTTAAAATAAAAAGGTTTCAACAAAGTCTATGCATGTGGTTTGTCAGGTTATAGTGTGATGTACAACGTATGCCTTCATTTATCCTACCACAAGCTTCCTTGCAGTGTATGAGAAGGCTTTGTTGCTGTCAACTTAACGAACATTGGTTCTTAATATCAAGTCGGTTGATAAGGTCAATTGGCTACCATCTATTACTAATTGTTATTGGCCTGTTGACATTAAGCAGTGGGTATATAACTTTTTCTCAAGTCTTTTTAATGTGCTGTTTTGCTTTAATGTTGAGTAATACGTTTATAGCATCTAACGTGTTGATAACATGTTTTGCAAACTTTCACTCCAAAATGTAGAAACCCCCAGATGTAAAAGTTTATATTTTAAAGTGCACAATTTTGGTTGCTATGCAGGAGGCGTGTACTCAATCATCATCACCTGATACTGCACAAGCTCGTCCAGAGAGTCTTGTACTAAGAGTTGCCCTTCTCGCGAATGAGTGGGGGTCGTCCAAGGGTGGCTTGTCAACGATAAACAGAACTCTTGCCATACATTTGGCAAAAGACGCAAACGTAGAAGTCACCATTCTTGTACCTGAATTTGAGTGTGGCGAAGAGGATAAGAGAGCTGCCGAAAGTCACAACATTGCCATCCGGGAAGCAGAGCGCCTTCCTGGCTTCAGTGATCCTCTTGACTGGTTGAGTTTTCCACCAGATGACCTTGACATTCAGGTTGTGATCGGCCATGGAGCAAAGCTTGGCAGACAAGCACAAATTATCAGAAAGTCCCATCGATGCAAGTGGGTGCAGGTTGTTCACACTGAGCCTGAAGAGCTGGGGATGCATAAGAACTATCCAAGCGCCATTGCCAAGGGAGAAGGGAAGAACAGAGCTGAAGTTGACCTTTGTCAAATTGCAGATCTCGTTGTAGCCGTTGGACCCAAGTTGAAAGAAGCGTTCTCGTCCAAGTTGCGTTCATCTCGTCGAGATATCCTTCAACTGATACCAGGTTCCTTCGCAGAGTTTTCAAACATTGAACATGCTGAACAAGAAAGTGTAAATTTCAAAGTGTTAGCCTTCGGTCGCGGTGATTTCGAAGACTTTAGTCTTAAAGGATACGACGTTGCTGCTCAATCCATAGTTGAATTGAAGGACAGTTCCTATAGTCTTGTTTTCGTTGGTGCACCCGATGGAAGGCAGGATGAAGTCGCAGAAATCTTACTCCAGACTGGCATTTCAAAGAACCAGCTGATTGTCAGATCATTTGTGAAAGACAAACAAAGATTGAGAGAGTTGTTTTGTGAAGTCGATCTGGCCATCATGCCATCAAGAACTGAGGGGTTTGGTTTGACAGCATTGGAAGCCATGTCAGCTGGTCTTCCCATTCTGGTTAGTGGAAACTCCGGATTTGGAAAAGCACTGCGTGGTCTTCCAATGGGTGAATCATTTGTGATCGACTGTGATGACCCCAAGGAATGGGCAAAGGCAATTGCAGCCATCCGTCAAAAATCAAGGACACAGCGGCTTGAGGAAATCCAAAGACTGCGAAGATGTTATGATGAAAGATTCTCTTGGGAGAGACAGTGCCAGGCCCTTGTTGACAGGATGTGGAAGATGGTTTATGGTAAGAAATCAAATTTACCGATAGGAAAGTAACAATAATAATAATAATTAGTACTTGAAAATGTGAAAATGCATATCTTATCAATATTATCCTTCATTTGACCTTCATCACTCATCGCTGTATGTCCATGGCATCTGCAACAGCGAGTGCATAAATACATTTTTACTACATTATGTTTCGTGGTCTATGTGCATCGCTGTAGAAATGTTGTCACTAACCTTTTTAACCTTAATGTTAACATTCACACTCTCCACACTGTTCTCCATACATATCTTGTGTTACTGATTAGGAGAATTTGTTTAATAATCAAGATCTTTTTTACCGGCTTACCAATTCCATTCTTTAAAACTTTTATGTATAATTTTATAAAATGTTGGCTACACTTGAAGGAGTTAACGATAAAAGGAAATTAAAATCTATAACATTGCGATACATCAAAGTCATCTGATTTCTATTCATATGCCGCAGTAATGGTGGGGTTCTCTTGTATATAAAAAGAAAATAACAACAAAAGCCCAGCCAAACTTTTGGCTTATAACTTATTACAAAAAATGAATGGAGGGCTTTTAAGGTTGGAATTTTTCTTTTTTTAAGAGTGACATTTTTTTTCATAATCAACACTTTTTGTTTAATTTACAGGTCTTGAAAAAACCAAAGAAGGTGACGTTCCACCGAATGACTGTGAAAAAGTTGCTGCAGCAGGACCGAAGGCAGGTAATGTAATTGATTGCTTTGTCAATAAAAGCAAAGACAAAATTTATTTTGCAGTAAAGTGCGGTTATTTTCTTCTGTTGAACAAGGGTGCTTTCGATTATTCGGATGCTTTTAGCTTTTCAATGTTTAGTGTAGCATCTCCGAGTATTTAAATTCACTGCTAATTTTAAACTTTATAGGTGTTGAAAAAACCAAAGAAGATGACGTTCCACAAAATGGTTTTGAAAAAGATGCTGCAACAGGACCGATGGCAGGTGATGTCATTGTTTGCTTTGCCAATTAAACCAAAGCCAAAATATATTTTTGCAGTAGAGTGAAGTTACTTTGTTCTTTTAAAATCGCAGTATTTTTTCTGAAATTGTCGACTGTTGTAAGCTTCAGACCAATTCACTGTGCTGCACCTGTTTTATGGAACTCGCTGCCATTAAGTAAAAGAACAAGTAGGAGCCTTGCCATTTTTTAAAAGCATCTTAAAACATTTCTTTTTAGGCCGGAGAGCTTATAATTTACTAGAATAACTCTGAAGTTTAGTGCTTAAGTTTGTATAGAATTAGACTTTTTAGATTTTCGCAGAGCATGGAATTTTTTTTATTATTATTATTGTTAATATTAGCTTTTTAGGAATTTTTTTTAATTGTAACTTAATGTGAAGCGCTTTTGAATATTTTATAGTTCTAGTACAGGGGGGGGGGCCACGACTTAGTACTAGGCGCTATTGGAGTCGTGGGCCCCCCCCTGTTCTAGTACTATACAAATTCTTTATCATTATCATGATCATCATCTCCTATAAAACTGGCGCGAAATAACCTCGACCGTAAAATTCCCAAAATAATCTCCGGAGCTTATATTTTTCAAAGGTTCTTTTTGAGGGGCTTCTTTTTGGAGGGGCCTATATTCGGAGGGGCTTATCTACGGAGGGATATTTGCGTTTCAAAATCGATTAAGCTTCCCTTATAGATGGAAGTAAATTTACCATTTTTGCTTTGTTTCACTCTGTATTTGAGGGCAAGTACCAGCCCCCGGGGGGCTTATATTTGGAGGGGCGATTTAACGGAGAGTTTTTAGCGTTACCGGTCTGGGGGGCTTACATTTGGAGGGGCTTATTTTCGGAATTTTACGGTATCTTATTTTGTCTTTTTCATCTTCCGCTTTCAGGTGAGCTCATTTTCCGTGCACTTCAACAAATCCTACTGGAAGCACGCGTAGAGTCCGGCAAAACCGAGCTTTCGCAGGCTTTAAAGAGGATTGCCTTGGAAAGAGGTTTTGCGATTTCTGACAATCAAGGAGAGGGAAACTGCATGTTTTTTGCACTTTCAGAGCAGCTTGAAGTCATCAAAGGAATTCAAATGCCCCATGATGAGTTACGCCGAACTGTTGTACAACACCTTCGGGAAAACCCCAGGCTGGTAAGTATCTTATTACCTTATTAGGGTGCACACATTTGCAGTATACGCGCGTAGCTGTGGCATTTGCCCGCTACATTGTTTTAATTCCTCTTAAAGTTAAAAACAATAAGGCCCTGTCCACACGTATCCGAAATACGGGTCCACACGAAGCGTATTTGAATCTTTTTCTCCCGTCCACATAAAAACGCTAAGATGATTGAAATAGGAATAGCATCCATTTACAGAGCATGCACAATGTTGTGTTCTAAGTCCTCTGTATTCGTCCATCCGCACGTCCTTTTCTAAAATCTCCACTCTTTGGACCATTTATGAAAACCTGCTTCTTCGGCGCCCGAAAATGCCGATCACGTGTGGACGGAAGGCTAAAATGGACAAATAAATATCCGATTAGAAAAAATATATATCTGGATACGTGTGGAGGGGGCCACAAATTCCTGCGATTGGATGTGATGGCTTTACGGGTTTGCTGCAAACAAATCCACCCTTTATGAGCAAAACATCAGCTCTGCATGAGCATCACGCTTGTTTGTACGTTGCTTCGTCGTTCACTGCACGACTGCGACGCAAAACGTCCGTATGCGACGTTTTGTGGAGGGCACCGAACCCCCTACAGTGAATTATTGTTTTCGGGCTTGGATACAGTAATTAAGAACTCAAATCTAAGACAATTCGTCGGCTTATGTTAAATTAAGCATTATGATAAAGTTTGAGAGAACACTCATTCTTTTCCCAAGTTACTTTCGAGTCGGAGGCATAAATGGATACGGAGAAATTTTTTTACCTGTTATTGTCGGCTCGATCGTCATGCTCATGTCCTAATTTATTTTTTAACTGTACGGTATATTGCTGAACTTGAAATGTNTTTATCATTATCATGATCATCATCTCCTATAAAACTGGCGCGAAATAACCTCGACCGTAAAATTCCCAAAATAATCTCCGGAGCTTATATTTTTCAAAGGTTCTTTTTGAGGGGCTTATTTTTGGAGGGGCCTATATTCGGAGGGGCTTATCTACGGAGGGATATTTGAGTTTCAAAATCGATTAAGCTTCCCTTATAGATGGAAGTAAATTTACCATTTTTGCTTTGTTTCACTCTGTATTTGAGGGCAAGTACCAGCCCCCGGGGGGCTTATATTTGGAGGGGCGATTTAACGGAGAGTTTTTAGCGTTACCGGTCTGGGGGGCTTACATTTGGAGGGGCTTATTTTCGGAATTTTACGGTATCTTATTTTGTCTTTTTCATCTTCCGCTTTCAGGTGAGCTCATTTTCCGTGCACTTCAACAAATCCTACTGGAAGCACGCGTAGAGTCCGGCAAAACCGAGCTTTCGCAGGCTTTAAAGAGGATTGCCTTGGAAAGAGGTTTTGCGATTTCTGACAATCAAGGAGAGGGAAACTGCATGTTTTTTGCACTTTCAGAGCAGCTTGAAGTCATCAAAGGAATTCAAATGCCCCATGATGAGTTACGCCGAACTGTTGTACAACACCTTCGGGAAAACCCCAGGCTGGTAAGTATCTTATTACCTTATTAGGGTGCACACATTTGCAGTATACGCGCGTAGCTGTGGCATTTGCCCGCTACATTGTTTTAATTCCTCTTAAAGTTAAAAACAATAAGGCCCTGTCCACACGTATCCGAAATACGGGTCCACACGAAGCGTATTTGAATCTTTTTCTCCCGTCCACATAAAAACGCTAAGATGATTGAAATAGGAATAGCATCCATTTACAGAGCATGCACAATGTTGTGTTCTAAGTCCTCTGTATTCGTCCATCCGCACGTCCTTTTCTAAAATCTCCACTCTTTGGACCATTTATGAAAACCTGCTTCTTCGGCGCCCGAAAATGCCGATCACGTGTGGACGGAAGGCTAAAATGGACAAATAAATATCCGATTAGAAAAAATATATATCTGGATACGTGTGGAGGGGGCCACAAATTCCTGCGATTGGATGTGATGGCTTTACGGGTTTGCTGCAAACAAATCCACCCTTTATGAGCAAAACATCAGCTCTGCATGAGCATCACGCTTGTTTGTACGTTGCTTCGTCGTTCACTGCACGACTGCGACGCAAAACGTCCGTATGCGACGTTTTGTGGAGGGCACCGAACCCCCTACAGTGAATTATTGTTTTCGGGCTTGGATACAGTAATTAAGAACTCAAATCTAAGACAATTCGTCGGCTTATGTTAAATTAAGCATTATGATAAAGTTTGAGAGAACACTCATTCTTTTCCCAAGTTACTTTCGAGTCGGAGGCATAAATGGATACGGAGAAATTTTTTTACCTGTTATTGTCGGCTCGATCGTCATGCTCATGTCCTAATTTATTTTTTAACTGTACGGTATATTGCTGAACTTGAAATGTTGACCAACACGAGTTTTGTGTGAACAGGGTATGACTACATACTGGTTTAAAAGTCAGAATTTCCAAACTCAGATTATTTTAACAGTAAACATCCCTTCCCTCCTCTCTCTCTCTCTCTTACACGTGTAACGGACACCTCCCTAAAAGTGTTGGTCCCTGCCGTTCTTAACTGTTGTTTTTTGACATTTTTAAGGAGAGTAGTGTAGGTCACACAGGTTAGACCCCTTTTTGTAGTCGAATCTTATTACTGTGATGACATGACATCTTTATCTCAGCAATAAAATGCGGTGGAATCTCTTCAAGATAACGTCACGAGCTATTTTTATGTAGTATTTAGTATATCCAATTATTCTTATATTGATGATGTAACTTGTTGGGATCTTGTCCTTATTTTGTGAGAATAATGCCGTAGATCATTCTAAATTATGTGCGTCATGTTTTTATTTGGTCATGAAGACACCTCTGAGCCATGACGCCTTCATTGTCCATTGCAGACAACTTGATCTGTCTTCACACTATACCGTATAGTTTTTTCGCGGGCACAAAAATCATATCGGATGGGGTTTCAGTTCACACATAAGAACGGTGATTTCGGGGCGATTTCTGTTAAACGGAGAGAAGCTGTGCCCCGCCGATCTTTTAAGTGGAGAGTCACATATCGGATAGATGTTCACACTTTACTGGATGGCTTTTCGTGTCGTCACCAAAGCTTATCTGGTATAGTATGATCATAGCTTTATTGTTCTGGTTCCGGTCCGCTGATTCTTGGCGCGCAAAGGAGATAAAGACGTCATCGACGTTAATATATTCAAATCTCTGCTTTAATACTTTACTCCTAAAACAGTGTACACCATACTAGTGCTGATACCAGCGGGGTCGGCCTTAGAGAAAACAGACTTCGATTCGTGGCTGTCTAAATAAATACCTTCTACAAAAGTACTCTACATTTTCTCTATTAACTACAGTATTTTCTTTCTTTCTTACAGCCGGATGGGACAGAACTGTTTCATTTTGTTGATGGATATAAATCTTGGGATGCTTACCTCACAAGTATGATGGTAGATGGTACATGGGGTGATCACGTGATTCTACACGGCGCGGCAAACTGTTTTCAAACGTGCATCTACGTGATCAGCAGTCTGCAGAATCGGCATGACGTAATGATCTGCCCAGAGTATGATGTTACTGGTAGCAACCGGCTTGTGCTGGGTCACGTGTTCGAGCTTCACTATGTTAGCCTTATTCCACATAAAGGAGGTAAAGATGACTGATTATACTGCGATTCAAGAGTTGCTATTTCGCGTTATGAAATGGACGACATTTTAGTGGAACATTTGACCTTAATTATGCCACCTCATTTGTAAAGATGTTGGAAGAAATAAGAGGTCCATTTTTTCACATGTACAGTTTTTAATCCGTCAATTTTCTTATGACGGTACAATTAGCCGTTTTAATAGACTAAGTATTCATAACAAAAGATTTTCTGCCTAAAAAATTCATGCAGCCCCCTCAATTTCTTAGATAAATTACTGTAGTTTTCTTAATAGAACTTGGTTTTTAGGGCCACCACCTTGCCTGAAGTCACCTGTAAGTACTCCACCATTAGAGCCTGTTGTTGTAAGAATCCTTGGAAAATACGCGTACTAATGATTACCTAGTTTTTCTCTCTTTGAGTCATGTCGCTGATGATTATGACTGTGACTGTAGCGTGTGAACACTCGGTTTTGACGTCTGTCAGTATACAGGTCAAAATTTTTTTTCTAGCAGTTTCAATAGCATCTAGAGGTAAAGAACGATTTTTGCTCCAGCTGTTCCTTGCCTGTAGTCTTTGAAAATATTCATATTCAGGTTCCATACTGAGTAGAATTTAATCGTATAGGATCAATCCTTTTTTAAGATATTCCTTACCACAGAACTTAAAGACTCTTCTAATCGAGTTTGTTCTTTAAGAAT